TGACTTGTGCCTCCCCAGACTGGGGGGGTGGGGCACAATCGAATGGGGAGGACACGTGATCGCCCCACATGTCTCCTCTTCCCAGCGACCCTGCACCCAGCCTGGGGGCCAACAGGCTCTCCCCACCCTGTTACCTGCGGAAGTGGAAAGGGGGCTTGTCTTTCTCTCACTGTGCCTGCCCCCCAGCATGTTTGGCTGCTCTCCCTGGCGGCCAGGCTGGGCAGGGAGTGGGACAGATCCACTTCTTATGCAGCTGAGACCGGCCACTCCAGGTCACTGCTCTGTGCAACATGGCGACTGCCTGAGACAGAGCCTAGCTGAGGAGGCAGTGGTGGGACAGGGGCCAAGTGAGACGGAAACATGCTGGGTGGGGGAAGAGGGGACTCCGGCTCGCTCGGCCCCTGTCCCCAGCAGCCCTGCCTGAGCGGGGAGCGGAAGACGCCACCTGCCCAGCCAGACTCTCTCATGCAGCTGCTGCACTGCACAGAGCAGTGACCCTGAGTGGCGGGCGTGAGAAGTGGCTGGTCCTGCTCCTTCCACTCCTTGCCCAGGCCTGGCTGCTGGGGACAGGGGCTGAGTGTACCAGGGGGTTGACACAGCAGGAGAAGGACAGAACCCCTCTTTCTCTACTCCACAGCAAGCCAAGCAGCAATCTTGGGGGGCACTTGACTCCGCATGCCCCCCCATGCATTGCCTATGGAATGATGCTTATTTCATTTAAGGAAGGGTAAGCTAGCAATTCAAGCACAAGATTGGGACTAAGGAGACATAGATTCTGTTCCTGTCTGTGGCACAGAGTGACCTTTGGGGAAGCGACTTCACCACTTTGTGCCTTACTTTCTTATCTGTAAAATGGGGATACAATTTCCTTTCTCCCACCTTTTGCCTGGCTATTTAGACTGTGAGCCCTTTAGGGGAGAAAATGCCTGTTACCTGTGTGTTTGTACAGTGCCTAGCACAATGGGGCCACGATCTCAGCCTGGGCCTCTGAGTACTATCATAGCTAGAAGGGGTTGCACGCTTGATTGCTTCAGTAGGCCAAATTCATTATACACACTACTGGCTCCTTGCATCCTTCAGTTCCCCTTCACAAGCTCCCTGTGTGCCTGCCTCCCTTTCCCTTCTATTTCAGTGACTCCCTGCAAATCCACTCCCCCCTCCCTCATGCCAGGGGCCCTGTATGTCCCCAATTCTCCTGTTCCTTCCATATGAGGGTTTCCTATTCTCCATGCCAGTGATTCTCTGTACCTCCCATTCTCTCTTCTGCCATATGCCAAGTGCTGTGTGTCCTCCCTGCCCCCATGGCAGGGTCTCTGTGTGCCTCACGAGTTCCCCCTCTGCTATATGCTAGAAGCTCTGTGCATCTCCCTCACTTTTCCTTTATTACTGCTCCTGTGTTACCCATCCATGTCTAGAGGGTTGCACACTTCATTGCTTTGTAGTGTGGCCACTTAAACATTCCTGGAACACCAGACATTGTGCTATTCTGGGAATAATGTGGGCCCACTTCTGTCAGCATGGCCCACCCCTGCTGATGTGACTGTGCATGCGAGGTTATGCTGGACAGAGAGGTGCCATTTTGAAGAGTGTGCTGCCCTGCCCCTGCCGGCGTGACCCTTGCATTCATGGTGTGTGCAGGGTCACACCGGGGGGATGGGAGAGGGGTGGAACTGTACGCTCTTCAAAGTGGGATTCCTCTGTCCAATATGGGAGAAATCCACGTACAGTTTTGTTTCAGAACCAGATGGAAGAAACCACCCGATAAGAGGACTGTCCAGTTCAAAATTACTAATACCTGTCTCTTCCTAAGGAAGGAATGGAAAGGCGCCCCTAAGGAAGCACAACAAGGAATGAATCTCTTGATGATTAACTGTTCCGTTCATTCCCCCTGGGGCCCCTGGCTGTGGCCACTGTCAGAAGACAGGATACTGGGCTAGATGGACCTTTGGTCTGACCCAGTATGGCCGCTCTTATATTCTTATGTTAAAACCAGACAATTAGCCTTCCTATTCAGTAGGCAGAGGCTACTTGCATACCTCCACTCCCTGAACACACACACACACACCCAGACACAGGCTTCCTGTGAACTGCCCTTCCCTCCTCACCTGTTTTCATGTGTAAATGGTTAAATATTTACAATTTGTAATTTGTTAAATAACTTCCTTTTTTCTGTCTGGGAGATAAGTCATTCAGGGTGTCAACTTTTTAAAATATAGTGGGATGAGATGGGTGGGGGCAGTGTTATGATGAAAGGTGTTTAATAGCTGTCATCAACTGCCTTTGATCTATAGACAATTACAGTCCTGATTGGTGTGCTAACCAGATGTCAGGGGCTTTGGGTCCTTCAGTTCCCCAATCTGTTTTTTTCTGTTTTTCACCCAAATCAATAGGGTTCTACCTGAAATTTTGGAATTGATCAGACAGAGTGTTCCAAAGTTATCATATTACATCCAGACAAACCGATAAATGCTATGAAGTAGAGTGTGGGGCCTCGCTTCACTAAGCCAATAATAATACAAGGAAGATTTTTCAAAGTTTGATTAAATTATGGTAACTTTTTATATTATAAATAGCTACATTTGCATTGATATGGATTGTAAGTTAGGCAGGTATTGTATTGTGTACACACTGCCTAATACAAAAGCATCCTGATACCCAATTACTAGCATAATAGAAATAATGAATAATAATTTTGACTTTCTGTCAGATGGAGTCTTGTTCTACTTTTGTTCCACACACCAAACTTTGTCCATGTCAGTGAGAGCTCTGCATGTGACTTAACTACACCTCTACCCCGATATAACGTGACCCGATATAACACGAATTCTGATATAACGCGGTAAAGCGGTGCTCAGGGAGGCGGGGCTGTGCACTCCGGCGGATCAAAGCAAGTTCGATATAACATGGTTTCACCTATAACGCAGTAAGATTTTTTTGGCTCATGAGGACAGCGTTATATCGGGGGAGAGGTGTACTATAAAATGCCTTTGGACTTCAGACATTTCTAATGTAATGAAACAAATGGGCATATTTGTTCTGTGTACAAAATATTTTCCAAATCGTTCACTCTGTTTATTTTTGAAAATGTATCAAAGGTATACAGAGGAATTACTGCAGAAGACCTAATTACTTATCTGATGTAGGTATCTTGTCTTTATTCTACTCATTTGTATGTGATGACATTTGTTCTCTTTTTAAAGGACAATTAATAGTTCAAGAAGTAATTTTTGAGAAAATTACTTTAGGAAGAATTCTTTTTTATAATTTATTTTGCCTAAATCACACACTATAAGACAAATATTTTAATTTTGAAAGGAAATATGTATATGTGGCAGAAATAGAATTTTGAATTCCTGTGAACCTAAGTGGATTTATATAGGTGCAAATAGTATATTCTGTCTTGAAATATTCAGAATATCCATGCTAATTGTGTTGATTTAGCTGTATAGTTTGGTCATCCTCTAGTTTTTCTTTGTCAGGTTTCACATAGTTGAAGTAGCCTGCAGGTGAAAAGTGTCCCATTAATCTTTTTGATCCTCTAGCACTTGAGCATAAGAATAGCTGATCAATTACAGCAATTGTCTCCCTAAATGAGCTTTTCACATCTACATCTTATTTCATTAGTTAACTGTCTGCTCATAGAACTGATAAAATGGAATAGTAGTGGCTTCTTACAGCTTGTTCTGTCTTACAATACAATAAGGATGGGGTTGTTAGCAAAGCGGGCACAAAAGAGTATTTATCCACTACCTGCAATAAATATACATGCTATTGTGTAGGAGTACTTTTGTCTCTAAGGGCTGTTTGTTGAAACGTACTTAAAACAAATCCATTTGCTGTTCAGCTTTCCATTTAGTATAACTAGTGCTATGAAGAAACTTTTTCTATATTTGACATTTTTATTCAGCATCCTAGGAAGCGTGTCTATGTCCCAAACCATTAAAATGAATGTATATCCTATTTAATTTTAAAATTTGAAACTACCATTTTTAAAATTAACAAAATAAATTTGCCTTTCTCCTCCAATACCTATTGTATTTCAAATGGCCAATCCACTATTTAAAATGTATCTTTTACATGCAAAATGTGACACTGATTCTCTCCAAAAGAAAATCTACAGTTCTGAAGCTGCAAATAAATATGAACACATTATATTGTAATAATTATTCAGAGTTAAGTATAAAGTTCTGTATATTTAACTATGCTCATGTTGCTTTAATTTATAAATGATCTAAGAATTACAGATGACAAAATTCATTCTTCATTCTAAGTGCTGATTTTATTTTTACTGACACTGTAACTAAGGAAATGTATTTCTCCTTTACATCTTCAACCCATATTTTGGGGAAAACAAAGTAATATTTAATTATATTAAGACATTTTAGTGGAAGCCTGTAGTTAATTGTATTATTTCAGAAGCACATTAAACAAATGACAGCTATTATGGCAATCGTATTTTCCTTAACTAAATATTTTATATTTTCAACTACATGAAGGGGAAGTTTCCAAAAGAAAATCTAACTAGTTACTAAACAAGGGTCTGATCCTGCAAAGACGAGAGTATGTGACTAAAGTTATTCATATACATAAGTCTATGTAGGTTCAGGCCTCCAAAGATTGTTGTGGTATATTCACAATGTATTTCTATATGAAGTTTTCTTGGGTAAGATTGCTTTCTACTAGTCACTGAAATGCGCTAACCCTCAAAAAAAATTATTTTAAATATAAAACATGATTAAATACAAAACTCTAACCTACACATTACAATGATGATTCCAAACAATTGTGTGCTGCTTTCTGTACATTTATGTATATCTGACTCAAAAGTTCTTAAAGCCGTTTTCACTTCAAACTTGTTTCAGTAAATTTGAATGCTTGAAAATACATGTTGCATTGGTTTTAAGGAAATAAATTCAGTTTTATAGAATGTATAAAACCACGGAGTTTTGACAGCTTGATATATGTAACCTTTTTAATTCACTTTTGATTGTTTATTGCAGGCCTTGTGTGTATGAAGTCGAGTACTTCTGTGGTTGAACTTGTTATGCTGCTTTGTTCACAGGTAAGACATTTTTTGGCTTTAATTGTATTAGTTTCTTCACACAGTGACATATTACTAAATTTTGAGTTTGTTATTCTTGCTTATTTTTTTCTTTCATTCTTTCTATTTGAATATGATGCAAATACAAATGCCATTTCTCACACCTTTCTGTAAAGTGTGATTTCTTGGTACATGTTGTAGAGCAGCAGTACTTTCATATTGACATGCAAAGTAATATTTTGTAAACAGTTATTTGTAAAATATATATGCATATACATTATATACTTTATCCTGTTATGCAGAATTTTTGGTCATAATTTCACATGAAACTTTCATTTTCCTGAATTAGTTATTTTTAAAACGTTATTATGTAATAACATTAACTTTCACCTCTAGGATACATGATGTTAAGTTATTGCACATTTGATGTAAGCTTTCAGTCAGTATTTAAAAAGCTGGGTAAAATGGTTATTAATGATCCCTCAGATGCTTGGATTTTTTTTTAATTTTCCATTTTTCCAATATCATACATTCAAATTATTTAACATAATTGAGTGTTTCTGTGAGAAATCTAAAAAGATGAAAAAACTGAGACTACAAAATCATTAAAAATATTTTGAAACTGAAATAACTACTCCTGGTGCTTTTGATAATTCACCCCTGGATTTTAATTAACTTTAAAATGTGTTACTGGCTAGATTTCATACATACCTGTCATCTTGTAAAATATAGTTGTATTAAAGAATCAACAAATATTCTTTGGTTTCTTTAGTTTTCTACAGCAAATATGTATTACCCTAATAGATCCCCAATCCCAAACAGCTTCTAAATTTTCTCCAAAGATTTAATTATTTCATATTATTTAACAAATGCACACACACAAATGCGTAAATAACAATTAAATTCATAGAGTAGTGTGTAAAATGAGGTGCCTGTATCTCTCTCTCTCTCTCTCTCTCTCTCTCTCTCTCTCTCTCTCACACACACACACACACACACACACACACACACACACACACACACACACACACACACACAC